TAAGTTATAAAATCAGGAGATGAGAGTCCTTCATATTCTTCATTTTCAAGATTGCTGCCTAAATAGTGGTCTCTTGATTCCATACGAATTTTAGGATGTTTTTCTATTTCTACAAAAAAGTCACTGGGATTCTGATAAGGATTGCATTGAATCTATAAATCATTTTGGATAATGTTGTCATCTTAGCAATATTGAGTCTTCTAATCCATGAATGTGGGATGTCTTTACATTTATTTACATTTTTAAATTCTTTTTTTTAAGATTTTATTTATTTATTTGACAGAGAGAGACACAGCAAGAGAGGGAACACAAGGGGGGACGGTGGGAGAGGGAGAAGCAGGCTTCCCCAGGAGCTGGGAGCCCGATGTGGAGCTTGATCCCAGGACCCTGGGATCATGACCTGAGCCGAAGGCAGGCGCCCACCCAGGCGCCCCTAGGTTTTTAAATTCTTTTAGCAATGCTTTGTAGTTTTCTGTATACACGTCTTTCACCTCTTTGCTTAAGTTTATTATTAAGTATTTTGTTCTTTTTGGTTCTACTGTAAATGTAATTATTTTCTTAATTTCTTTTTTGAATTGTTTACCATTATCATATAGGAATGCAACTGAATTTGGGGGGCAACTGGGTGACTCAGTCAGTTAAACATCTGTCTTCAGCTCGGGTCATGATCACAGGGTTCCTGGTTCAAGCCCCATATTAGGCTCCCTGCTCAGCGAGGAGTCTGGTTCTCCCTCTCCCTCTACCTTTCCCCCTGGCTCATTCTCTCTCTCTCTCTCTCTCTCTCTCTCTCTCTCTCTCTCTCTCAAATAAATAAATAAAATCTTTAAAAAAGTAGAAATGCACCTGAATTTTGAATGTTGATTTTGTATCCTGAAACACTGCTGAATTTGTTTAACTCTAACAGATTTTTTTGTACATTCTTTTGGGTTTTCTACACATGAGATAATATCACCTGCAAACAGAGATAATTTTACTTCTTCCTTTTTAATTTAGATAACTTTTATTGCTTTTCTTGCCTAACTGACCTGTCTAGAATTTCCAGTAGTGTGTTGAACAGAAGTGGCGAATGTGGGCATCGTCTTTTTCTGTCTTAGAGGAAAAGCTTTCGGTTTTTGGTATAATTTTATGATTTATGATTTTTTTCTTATTTAGTATGATATTAGCTGTGGATTTTTTTTTAGCCTAGAGCCATGGAGGGTAGGATCTGCTAATATTCACCATCTGTCAAATCTATCCAGAATATGTCTGCCCTAGGAAGCTGAGAAGATGGGAACTGCCAGTCAGTTGTCAAGCCAAGTATATCAGCTTTCCCACAATACATATATGTGCCAGAAAGGGGGACTGCACTCTTCACCAACTGTTTTGCCTATTTTGCAGAAGTTGGCAGTAGGGAAGTGGATGCTGCCCTCACCCAGGAAAGCAGTTTCACTCGAGGGAGCTGGGAGCTATCGGGAACCACCTGCGACACAGCTCCCAAGCTTGTTAAAATAGTTCTTCCGTGCGGCAGAGCAATGGAGATGTGGGAGTATTACCTAGCTTCATTACCAAGGCCTCCTAATGTTCTTAGCTATTGTCCATAACTTTGTTGAATAAATACTTCTCAATCTGTTATAATCCTTTTGATCAATCTCTGGAACATTTGATTCAGTATCCTTTGCTAATACTTGATCAATTTAATAGTTGTTTCTACAAGGAAGAGATTTCCCTAAGGTCCTCACATGACCATTCTGGAAGGGCTCTCACTTTCTTGATGGTATCTTTGACACAAAAATTTTTAATTTTGATTAGGTTGTATTTATTACTTTTAAGTTTTTCTTGCTTGTACTTTTTGCATCATATCTAAGAGGGCTTTGCCTAACTCAAGATCACAAAGATTTACTCCTATGTTTTCTTACAATTGTTTTAAAATTTCACCTCTTATGGTTAGGTCTTTGATCCATTTTGAGTCAGTTTTTGTGCATGGTGTGAGATAGATGTTTGAGTTCATAATTTTTCTTTTGGATATCCAATTGTCCTAGCACCATTGTTGTGAATGCTCTTCATGAGTCTTCTGATTAATGAACATAGGATATCTCTCCATTTATTTACCTTTTCTTTAATGTATTTTAGCAGTGAGGTTTTTTTTTTAGTTTTCAATTTACAAGTCTATACTTCTTTTGTTAAATTTATTTCTAAATATTTTAATTCTATTGTAAATGGTCTGTTACTCTCATTTTCAGATTGTTCATTACTAGTGTATACAAATACAATTGATTTTTTATGGGTTGAGCCTCATATTATTTTTCTATCTAGTGTAACAAACTTAATGGTTTAAAACAATAACTTTTATTATTTCACAGTCAGAAGTCTGGGCATGGCTCAATTGGGTTCTCATATTAGGATCTCACAAGGCCAAAATCAAGGTGCTGGCAAGGCTCTCTGTATTCCTTTCTAGAGATTCTGGGAGAGAATTTGCTTCCAAACTCCCTCAGATTTTTGCAGAAATCATTTCTTTCTTATACTTTCTATGTGGCCCTTTCTGTCTTAAAGCTAGCAATAGTGGTTTGAGTTCTTCTTTTGCTTCAGATCCCTCTGACTGTCCTTCCATCTGCCAGAAAAAGTTCTCTACTTTTAAGGGCCCTTGAGATTACAATGGGTCCACCAAAACAATCCAGGATAATCTCCCCCTATTTTAAAGCCAAAAATTAGTAACTTTAATTACATCTGCAACATCCCTTTTGCAACATAATGTAACATATTCATAGGTGTAACTCCAGGAGATAAAGATAATGGGAGCCAGAATTCTACCTATCAAAATCTTGTTTCCTGCAAACTTGCTGAACTTATTCTAGTAATGTTTTAGTGGATTTGTAACCTAATAACTAAAGTGAGTTCACTCCTTGGTAAATTACAGATAGAGACTACATCAGGTGGAGTTGTCACACAAAACTTTACTTCAACAAATAAGGAAATCATGGGGAATAACTTCCAAAGCCATGACACCTGAGTGGGGGTAAATAGATTTCTTTTATTTAGGAATAGGATGAATATTTGGAAAAGGGGGGAGGGATTTGTCATTACATGTAGAGGTATAAGGTCATATACACATACTTAGGAAATATGCCTGTACATGCATTGTATGTTATGCTAATGAGGTTTGTATTCCTCCTTGGGCAGATATTATAATGAGGTAGAAGTTACTGTCAGACACTCCATGGTCCATCTGCACAGGTGTGAGTCCGTAGTCAAGCTCAAACTAGTCTAAGCCTACCTGAGCTCTTCCTGTTGTTTGCCTCTAAAAGATAAGGCTAACATTCTTGTGAAGAAGGGATAGTCAGTGAGGGTCTTGCTGGTGACAATTTTAACTTCATTAACCCTATGGAGCATGGTTTCAGGTTCCTTAGGGTTTTCTCTATGCAAGATCATGTCTGCAAATGAAGACAGTTTCACTTTTTCATTTCCAATCTGAATGCCTTTTAGTTCTTATTTTTGTCTAATTGCCCACACTATTCTTTCTAGTACAATGTTGAATAAAAGTAGTGGAAGGAGACATTCTTGTCTTTTTCCTGATCTTAAGAGGACAACAGTCTTTCTTCATTAAGCATATTAGCTGTAGTTTTTTCATAGATGCCCTTTATCAGGTTGAGGAAGTTCACATATATTTCTAGTTTTTTAAGGATTTTTATCATGAATGGATATTGGGTTTTGTCCAAGGCTTTTTTCCAAATCTATTAAGATGATCACATCATTTTTGTCCTTTATTCTATTAATATGATGTATTGCAGCAATTTATTTTTGTGTTCCTCAGATAAATTCCACTTGGTCATGATGTATAATCTTTCTCATTTGTTGTTAGATTCAGTTTGCTAGTATTTTGTTGAGTTTGTGTTTATATTAATGGTATTATTCTTTAACTGTTCGGTAGATCTCATCATTGAAACCACCTGGGCCTGAGTTTTTCTTTGGGAAAAGATTTATAATTACTAATTCAGTCTCTTTTGTTACCCATGTGATTTTGTTTAGAGATTCTATCAAATGCAGTAACCCCACAGGATACTCTAGCTGGCATTGTTGCTGTTTTCTGGCCCACTGTGAATGAACTGAATACAGTTGCCATTGATTGTTAACTAACATAGTTAAACAAATAGAATAGTTTCTTATGTTGGTGCTTTGGAAATCATTTCAGATACGGGTTTGTAAATCATTCAATTTTGAGGAGTAATTTTAAAATTTAACAATGCCTTCTTTATCAGAAGCCTAATAAAACTCTTCCAAATAAGAGTTGAAAATGCATAGTAATCTTTTATTTTAATTTTTGGAAAGTTTTGCAATCCCTTCTTCCTCCCTACAAAATATGTGCACTCCAATAGAGAAATTCAGTCTCTGTCCCCTTGTTTAGGACAGTGCTGCTTCTCATTTATATTTTTTTCCTCTAAATAAAGTTTTCTGATTAGCTGTTTTTAACATGTTCTTCTCAGTGGAAATTCTGATATATGTTGGCTTGCTTTATTCAACTTGTAGACCTTGAGTACTATATGCCAGGCATTTGTGCCAGGAGCTCTTATAGGAAGACTTTCTGTGAGGACTCAGATTAACTTGGCGTACCACATGTATATTGAAAAAGTAACCCTATGAAAAGATATGTGAAAGTCAAGATTAGGTCCCTAAGTGGCCTACTAGCTGTATCAGTAATGATTTCACAGTAGTCTGGTGCACGGACTCACAATACCAACACAGGACAATTTGTATATATTTCATTTTGAAAAGCATATATTAAAATCCCATGTACATGGATGCGGGCGTGTGAAGAGGGAGAAAGATCTTATAATAACTATAATAACTGCTCAAAATATTACTCTTCTTTTGGCAGTTTCTGTCAGTTACATTGCTTTTTATGTGATTTGTAATGGAAAAACAAGAAGAGAAAATAATTGGATTTTACAAACAAGCAGAAAAATATACATATAGTTTACAAAGTTCTTCAGTTCATCTTGTAACAAAGTCTTGATTCTTCCTCTTAGACCAGAAGATCAATTCAGAAGTTATTAGAATGGGAAAATAACAGATTATATCACAAGGTAAGAAAGTTTAAGCAAATAAGTGCCCCACATATGTTTGCATTATTAAATGGAAAAAAATGGGAATTTTTCAGGCCACAAAAGAATGGATTAGAGAATTAATATTCAATTTTAATGTATATTCTTTACAAGTTACTTTTAAATGCTATTTTATGTGTCTTATGCTTATTCCTGGATGGTTCTCGGTCATTTATTCAAATGTTAGAGGTAATAATTAATATAAATTGATATCGAAATTCCTAACTGTACTTTCTTAGCTTGCTTTGCACTGGAAGTTGACTAAAAGGAAATGCGAAACTAGCAATATGATGGAGTATGTAAGTATGCAGTTGTTTTTAGTTACTTTTTTTGGATTCCATTCTAAATGTTACATTTTACTATGCTTATCATTTGTCAGTTCTTTCTACTTTTTTTTTCTCCTCAGCCTAAACTTCTGTCAGTTTTGGAACATAGAGGTTTCCTTCCATCGTCCTTAGATTTGTAGCCAACATAAAAATATCTTGAAAGCTAGTAATTACTTAGATGTGAGAAAAATCTCAGCTAGTATGCTGTAATGAAAACATTGCACAACCTTAATCTTCTTTTCACATAGGTGCAGACCATCACATATGGTAATAAACACAGCTGCTGTTGAACAAAATATCTCTAAATGTGATCTTGACAAAACTTGCATAAAATAGGAATTGAATTCTGAATTCATGTTCCTGGCTTTTTGTCTTAGCTAACACTTAATTTTCAATAAATAAATGATAGGCTCTATTTTTTATTTTTACTGAAAGCTATGCCGTCTTAATCACAAAACACAAATTTACATATAACTAATGTGATAACTTCAGTATCATAAACATTCAAAAGAATATGAAATTTATCTAAGCTTGAAATTGTTGACATATGTATATTTACTATATAAACATTCCATTTCCATATCATAAATAAGGATTATTATGTTATTTTTCCCCACTTTGACTAGCTAGGGGAAAGAATGTGCAAATGACCACAAATCTAATATCCACTATAGATAAAACCTTATATAAAGTATTATAAATTTATTATAAATTTACACATTAAATTTATAAATAAAATATTAAATATAAATTTAGTATATAAATTTGTGTAAGTTTATAAATATCTTAGGTTTTTATTATTATATTTCCAGTCTTTAATTAAAATGTTTTAATCAATCCATTTGGATGTTTCATTATTTTTTACAAACAACTTGTAAAAGATAGTAATAACCAATATCAGCTGCTTTAACTGAAAAATATATAGATAAAGGTATTTTTTCCTAATCTGTATAACACAGTTTTAATCCCTTCTTCTTTGTCAAAAAAAAAAGGGCAGGGGAGAAGGGGTGTAGAGGGAGATAATAATGTAAGAGGGTTTGCTTTTCTTCACCTAAACAAATAATTATTATAAATTAGGTCATAGAAACTGTTAGCTACAATAAGTAGTTATGTTTGCCAATTTGATTTAATTGCCAATCTAATGATAACTTGTAGTAAATTCTCTTTATAACTGTTTTATATATTTCACTTACTTTATACTAGAGGACCAAAGTAGAGTCCTGTGAAAAATGATCATAGACTTTCTGGGTTATATATGTTCTAGTAAATGAAAATTATTTTGTCAATATATTCTTGTTTGTTTTTATTTTACAGGTAATACTAATAGAATTCTTACCAAAATATCCCATATTCCGACCTGACTGAGGAATTTTATTCAGTCACTTCTGTGTTACTTGTCATTTCCTACCCTTAGTGCCTTGTAGATGATTTTGGAATGAAGATGGTCTCCTTTGCTGTGTTCAACTTATTCTTTATTTCTTATTATTATTCTTTAGAATATTCTCCTTACTCTTTTATTTGTGTTGGTTTAAGAAGAAAATTTGCACATCTTTTTTTTGTTAAATGAGGCTTGTGTTTTGCACTCTCAATTTTTAAATAAATACACACACAGAGACGTATATGTATATATATAGTTGCCACTAAAGATAAAACATCAGTGCCGGTGTTTAAAAAACAAAAACGAAAATTTGTTCTGAGCATGCTGCCTTATTATTTTCATACTCACTGTTTCTAAATATGCATCATTTTTCTAGGCTACTTAATGCTCTGTAATCCCTTACTGGATATAAGTAAATAAGCTTTTGGTAGCTTTTAGAAATGGTTTTACTCTTACTTGCTTTTAAAAGACATGCAATTAATAGCACTGGTTTTGTCCTGCACTTTGCTAAATTATCACTTACGTTAGTGGATAAAATATTTAAACTCTTAAAAGACTTGTAAATATTGTCTCTTTGCATAACATAAAATGTGATATGCCATGGTTTACAGAATGTAATATTACTTACTGTATTGCCAACAAATCTGCATAGATTTTAATATGAATGAAGTTTGCAAGCATCCTTTTGAATGTATAGACTGTTAACATGCTATTTTATGGCAGAGCCATAATGAGTTTGTTAAAAATTTCAGGTGGAGGGCAGGATTGCCCTTTGTAATGAGTGGATTAAAATTGAAATCATTGTCTGAGATATTCTGCATTGCACCTGAAACCAAGAACGTTAGTTTTTCCATTTAATTCCGTAATTCCCATGTTGTCCTCCACTCCCACCCTCCAAAAAATTCATTTGACATCCGACACATTTCACAGCTTCACTGTCCTTATTTATTTCCCTTAATGTATCCTTTCCCTCATTTGAAAATACACACAGTTATGATCTTTAAGGAGTGTTTGAAGATTTCACATGGCTTGGGAGGTGTCTAGATCCTCATGAAAGCCACTGCTAATCCCTTTTTGGAATTCTGATATTCTGCTCTGGGAAAGAGAGAGAGCTAATTGAGAAATTGTACCTAAAGAATATATAGTGGCTAGTTCATAATTGATAAAAATATTCTTTATTTTTTGAGAATCTTTTTTAAATATTTGGATATTATTAATGAAGAAAGACAAGTACTTAGACTAAAGTATTTTAGTTTATAAATTCCCCACACATGTAGCTTTTTCATTTATATGTACCTATTTTTTCTTTTTCTCTTCACAAGATGAGTGAGAATACCACACTTAGTTTGAATTTTTAACATAATTATAAAGCTTTATGTTGTGTTAATTCAACTGCAAATGTATGCCTGTATATAGGCATTATTTGTAATTCCTATTGCTAAAAATAAATTAAAAGAATCTGAGACTCAATAATATCCTATTTGTCATCTTACTCTTACTACTTTTAGTAAAAATTTTTTAGATAAACATTTATCCCAGTGAAGAGAATAGTCATTTCTTCATACAAAGTCAAGTATTTTAAAAGTCACTTTTAAAATTTATGCCAAATTTGAAATCCATAGTCCTGGACAAGTAAAAGAAGAGGGGGAAAAGAGACACTATGTGATATATGACTATAATTGTTTGCACACTTTTCCACCTCCCTCTGTAGAGTCCCATTACCCCCATGCCACCAAGCTACCCAGAATCTCTAACTTTTAATATGTGTGCCTGCAAATACCATTTGTCTGTCTGCTGCAAAATTAAATATGTATTTTTATAGACAAGGTGGAAACCTCTGAAAATGCATACCAAATGTCTTGTTTTATAGCTAAGGTCAGGGAAAAATTGTATCTGTGGTTTATGCTCCAGCTAATATCATCAGGTTTATGCTTCAAACTGTGACTGTTTAATACCAAAATTGATTTCCGGAATAATACAAAATTTCTAATTAGCAGTGATAGAATAATTTTAAGTGTCAATCCTTAAAATCTCATCTTTTTCTGTATATTTAGAATTTGGCCATGTGTATTTAGAATTTGGTCATCGTAACTTTTTCTGCCATGTATAAATCACACTTGGTTTTGCTCAAAGAACAGCAAGAAGTGGTGAATTGTTTCCATGAAACAAATATTGAGACAAAAATAGTGTGTATCTGAAGGTGACAGAATATAACTTAAGTTACAGTAGTATTTGTCATAAAAATCATTTGCCAGCATTTATAAACTTAATTTAAAAGCCTACTCTAATTGCTTTTAAATTTATTATTTTATTGTTCATTATGCTGGTTGACTCATCTTATTTTCTTGAACTACTCAGATAATACCCAATTTTCTTTTTTCTTTCTTATATGACTGCTTTTTCAAACTATTTTCCTATGTAAGGGGCTATTTAGCAGTTGGATATTCTGGAGTGCTTTGGAGAGGGTGTTTTCAGTGAAATTGGCAGCAATGAATAATGAAATGACAAAGCACACTGTGTGGTCATTAATTCCTCCCCCATTGACCTTTTTTTCTTTTATCCTTAGGATAGAACATACTTGGATATTTCTATCAAGTTAGTAGAATATTTTTATGAAAGCTGTTTTTAGGTTGAAGAAAGTAATTGTGTATTTCTTTTTTACATGATATTCTTTTATGAAACCTGCTGTGGTAGGTTCCAGAGAAAATAACATGTATTTGCCAAAGTGTATACATCTCACAAAGCTTTGAAGTTACAAGTTAAAACTGTTCCTTCTCTAACTTTCCGTTACACATGTCCATCCCCAGTGCCCCTTTAAACACCTAAATTATGTATAAAATGAAATTAAGGCCTAACCTTTTTCGACTACTTTTTGTTCCCTCCTACCCATGATATTAATTTAAGAAAGAGATCATTGTAGTCAAACATTAGAAGTAGATAGAGAAGTGCCTTGTCTTTTTTGAACAAAGATAACATTTTATGTTGAAGGAAACAGAATGGATGAACTGACAGATCATTAGACTTAAAACTATCCTTTTCAAGTATAAGAATATTTCATTTATTTCATTAGCATATTATATTTCTTCTGTTTATTATTTAAAGCCTGTTTCCTTGTTTTCCCCCAATCATATATGTTAGTGAAAAAATATTACAGAACAGGACTATCAATCACTTACAAAGCTGGTATAATTCTAATGCTAGTGAATATGTAATTTAACATGGTTCTGGAAGAACAATGGTCTTTGATTGAAGCCCTACCAAAACCCACTTAAGTATTTAATTACATACTATTTATATTATTATGATCTTTAAACACTAATATGTGATCAATTAATCTGTGTTAACATTTAGCACTCTACCATTTTTAATGAAATTTATTCTTATTTTTTTATAATTTGAATGAAATTCCGTGTTCATAACATTTTTAAGGCTTAGAACAAATAAGGTTTTTCCAAATGTATTAGAGCTTTCAAAAATTATTAGCATTTTAATTTTGTTCACAAATAAACCACCACTTAAAATCAAACCTCACTACTTGAACATAAAGCCCCAAACAACATTTCATCAGAATTAACTATGTTGACCCTGGAGGATATAGAAATTATATACACTTGTTTCCGGAGGATATAGAAATTATATACACTCTTTTAATTGGAGCAGTTTCACATATGGAAATGTATTTTGCTAATTTGATTATAACATGCCTAAATTTAATGAAGTTAAGTCCTCTTTATGCCTATAAAATTCTGCTTTAAAATATTCATTTTGCAACAATTGTCCAATTGTTTGGGTTCCTTTAAATGGTGAACTATTAGGAAATTTTCCATAGAAAAGGAATAGATTTTATTAATAATAGTTGTTCATGTAACATGGAGACTAAAAAAAGAAAGAATTTGTGTATCCTTATCTTGCTCCAAATTTCTCTTTTTTGATTCTGAGCCAGCTTTTCATTTTGATGATGGCAACCTGAGAATATATTCCATTTTCTGTGGACTTTGTCAGATTCTTACTATATGAGGAAATGATCTAATATTATGGGTTTTGGGCAAGTCACTTAAATTACATGTCAGTCTCTTCATCTGTAAAATCATGGGGTTGAACCTAGGGCTGGACAGAAAATTAGAGATAAACTAACATTCTGTGATTCTAGGAATCCTTAGGAAATTTTTACTCTACAGAATCCCAGAATGATTTTTCTCAGATCTACTACCCTTGGTGGAAATTCTCACAGTGCCTTGCACACAGTAAATGTTTGATTTGCCAACTGCTCCTAGCTGATGTGTGTTCATGTCACACAGACTCAAAGAACCTGATACCTGCTAGACCTCAGCCCCTCTATGGTAATAAAAATAAATTTAGTTTCCCTAGGAACTAAAGGCTAAGATCTGTGGGCTTTGCATATGTGAAATCTGACTATGGATTTGGTATCGAGGCAAGAATTATAACTGTGACAACAATGGAGATATGGGAGGACCCACTTTGACATTGATGTGAAAAGTTCTCATATCCTATCCAATATCTGCTTCAGTGTCTTACTAGGTTCCATATCCTCAAAAAGATCTGTTGGAAAAAATTGATATTAGATGGAAAGAAAAGTGGTATGGAATTCAAACCCAAATCACTTCTGGTTTAATTCTTAGCTCTGCTGCTTAATTCCTCTGTACCTCATGTCCTCATTGTGGAAGTGGGGACAATAATCTGGACCTACCTCACAGGGGAATTGAGGATTTTTTTCATATATTAATGTGCTTTTGAAGTTGACTGAAAGATATACTGGATATCATAATTTTGTAATTTCTAAATAGATTCCTTTAAGTCTATGTTGTTATGTTTTCTTTCTCAAACCCTACAGAATGAGTGTTGCATTTAATCTATTTTATCAGTAGTAAATTTTGTTATTAATGCCCTATATGTTAACATGAGTAATTGTGTTATGTTAATACTTGACTTAGGGAGGAAAAGCAGGTGGATGTAAACCAGTGGTTCCCAACTTGGGACAGATAGAGATAGCAGTGGGGGCATCCTTGAACCTGTTTTTAATATTTCAAAACATATTCTAGAAATCATACATTTACCCACATTCCTGCCACATAAACCAACTAAGACATTGAACTTCCATGAATTTTGTTGATATTTTTTCAATCCTGCCTAACATAACACTGGTTATCACACACTGATCAGAAGTTGTAAATGACAGTTCTGCTTTTGATTAATAAAAGAATGAAAAAGCCTATTATCACATGCAGTTTAGTAAATAAAATTCTTCAAAACATGGAATAATAAAGGAATCCTTATGGTGAAAATGTTGGAAGCCACTCTTATAAAGGAACTAAGATTATTTGACCTTCTCCACAAGTTACTTACCCAGTCCCTATATAATGAAATGCCAGATAGTGTGTGTGTGTGTGTGTGTCTGTGTGTCTGTGTGTCTGTGTGTCTGTGTGTCTGTGTGTCTGTGTTGTGGCTAGATTGGGCTATATAACTTCAGGTTAGAATTTGCCTTCTGTTCTCTTCTGTTTCGGGATAACTGAGTTAATTTATTTGAGTGTGTATTTGTAAATTACATATACACACATAGGATTGCAAATGTGGAAAGTGTTATATGTTCTAGCATTGGAGTAAATATCAACTTCTGAGTCTCAAAGTAGTTCTGTGTATAAACTCATTATGAGTCTAGGCAATAATTTCTCAAATGTCCCTTTTATTCCTGCTTATTTTGTTGCTTTTATCTTGGCTTAATTTTCTTAATTTTCCATTTTTCTAGTAAGCAGATAGTGTAAAATTATTTTAATGCCTGAACTTTGAACAAATTACAAATGTTTGAAATTACATAATCTACAAGCTAGTTTGCCCTCCATGACTAACCACATACAAATATGAATCTCAGCTGCAGAAACAGGAAATGCTTGTAGCTGGAAAATGGGCATTGATCAAAACATCTGTTTGAAAAGCCTAGGATTTCTACTTTTTGGCAGAGGATTCCTATTGGGACAGCTTTACCAGAAAAGAATAAAAGTGGATATGTCCATTCAAACCAAGAACATTCGTGCATCTTGTATTGTTACATAGCCTGTGGAATGAATTTATTTTTCTCCCAAGTTTGAGAGTGACTCCCCTAAAAGAACTCAACCTATATACAGCTGTGCCAAAATGAAGGACACCTGCCTCTCTGAAACTTTCACTGCTGCTTCTGTTGTTCACTTGTCAGATATAAAATTTTATTATCTCAGGATGCAAAATTACAATAAAGTGCAAATCTATGTTAATGAATTGTGTGTTCTTTGGTGCATCTTCCTTTCTTCCTTCTCTTCTCATCATTCTAAAGTAGTTACTTAAGGCTTCCTTTAAAAAATAGTATTTTGCATATTGCCTCTTCGTGCATTTGCTAGTATTATATCTGATCCTATAATTCATGCTATGTATTAGCTTTGGGGGCCTTTGTGGTGCCCATTGTTTGGTATTTGCCTAAGTAGGACTTTGTTTCTAAACTACTTTGTATGCCTACCTGTGAACTATAAAATTACAAGTAAAGTCAAGTGTCATTCCACCTTATAATAAGCATAGTTTTTTAGTGAAAGAAATGTTGAAATGTGAAGCTACTTGGCAAAAGTTTTGACTCTCTTGTCAACAGTTTGTTATTTGAAAAATTCAAGTGTTAATATCTTCTACTTGATTTACTACTCAAGCTGATTAGCATGCAATATTAGATTTTTTAAAATTATGCCAAACTTGGGCGCCTGGGTGGCTCAGTCGTTAAGCGTCTGCCTTTGGCTCAGGTCATGATCCCAGAGTCCTGGGATCAAGTCCCACATTGGGCTCCCTGCTCGGCGGGAAGCCTGCTTCTCCCTCTTCCACTCTCCCTGCTTGTGTTCCCTCTCTCACTGTCTCTCTCTCTGTTAAAAAATAAAAATCTTTTAAAAAAATAAAATTATGCCAAACTTTTACAAATTCAGCAAAGCAGGAAAATGTAACATAACAAGAAAAACAATGTTTCCCATCTTCTTTGATAATTATACTATTTCTTAAACACTTTAAATTTTGAACTGTTAAAGTAGAGATGACAGACTTAAACCTACGGGAAAGCTTCATGTTTTGTTTTAAAATTATTTTTTGAAACTACAATATGGATGAGCAAAAATCAATACTTTTTATTGATAATTAGGTGTGGAGTAGGATATGCTATGTGGAAAATACTTTTACATTACATTTTCTAATATTGAGGGCTGAAGCCACATGCCTTTATATCTGTCATTAAATAATATTTAACACAGTAT